TCTTCTGTATTCTTAATGCCCCCTTGTTGAGCTCAATCAAAGTGGAGAAGGGAGCTGCCCGATTCGAATGCAGAGGGAACAAGAGTGGAACCTGAGTTGTGGATAGGACTGGAGTGTGGCAGGGAGTGGGAGAAGGAAACCAGCACCGGATCACTGACATGAAGCCAGATGTGGAGACTGGAACTGGAAGCTGGGGATCGGATTGGAATGAGGAGTTGGGAGACTGAACAAGTGAAGTGGAAGGAGAGAAGACTGAGATCAGATGAAGAGCCATGGGCAGGGATTGGGAGTAGGATGAGAAGCCCCAGGAGTAGAGACTGGGACTAGTCAGGTGAAGAGAATGGGACTCAGATGAGGAGCCTGAGGTGGGGGAGAGACAGAACTAGGATAGAACAGACTGTGCTCACTAGAACCTGGAATGGAATCCAAGATTTGAGTCTCACCATTCCTCTCATGACAGAAAATATATGTGAAACTAACTGGCCAAGTGTCCCATCCCACCTCTAGTGCTGGTCCACACAGAGAATGGCAACCTACTAATGCTATTAGTTACTCCATTAGCTCAAATAGCAGAGGTCTAAGCAGTGGATCTGAAGGATCCAACCCTGTTGATGAGCCATGTGAGTGTCAACATAATGTGACGGAATTTGTCCTTGCAGTTTACTTTAACTAGCTTGCAATTTACACACAAAAAATGATAAAAAGAACATTAGGGAGTCCTGTGGAAAAGATTGTATGTGACCATCAGAATGCATACACAAAAGGAGGCCAAATTAAAGTTGCACAGGCAACCTTAATTCTGGCTTTTCCTAACTTTGAGTGCTTAGTTTTACAACCTTAATAATAGTCTTAACAGTTTTTGTGTGCTCATGGTACACCTGAAGTCTTACATTCATGTGCTTATACAATAGATTTCTCTTATCAAACTCAATTGTAAAAGAAAAGCCCTGATGAAGTCAAACAGTACTAACATAACTGTTTATCAATAACTTCACAGCAATGTAAACTGATACTATGTCTAATGAAAAGTGGATAAGAATACTCCAATGGAACAGACTCTACCAAATAAGTTACCCCAATGTTCAGTCTGTACAGTCAACCAACACATATATAATACATAAGAGCAAGAATTCCAGATCAGACAACTGGTCTATTTAGGCCACACTCCTGCCTCTGATTCTGGACAACACACAGGTTCTAATGTACTCTCATGAATAAAGTTCCACAGAACAGTGTTTGAGGTTCTTTTACTGATCTTATTACTGCCATCATCTAAGAAGTGCTGCCAGAATAGAATACTGCAAACATCTCTGCATGCATCTTCAAGAACCCTTAACTATTGCAATACTCTTAGGTTGCTCCAATACAGCACACTGAACTCCATGACTATACCTCATGACTTCAACAGGACTCCACACGTGCACAGGATCTATCCTTATGGTTCCTAGTGCAAGATCAAGTCCTCAGACTACAACTTCTTCAGGACAGGGTCTCTGTCTTTCTACGGTACATAACCTAGCATATTTTGGTTATTACCATACTAAAAAATAATAAACTATACAAGGACTTAGATTTCAGCTACTCCAAAACCACCAACTAAAACTACAGCTATGTCTAATGTGCTCTTTGCATGGGCTGAACATTAAAGTCTTGCTTTTCAAGTTAAAGCACTTTAGTCCTAAGACATCTTATTTATAAAAGATTTACAAAGTATGGAATCAAAACTGATCAATAAGATGTCTTGCCCATGACAACATGATTAATGTTTTATTACAAGACATGCCCTGAAATATGAAACACACAGTGCATTCCAACAATGCATATTGATTGTAATTATAACTATCAGCTGAATAAGCCATTTTCCTTTCTGATCACACGTTGGGCTCAGATATTGAGCTTCAGTGATAAAAATTAGACCCTACTACATACAGGACTAAGAAATTGTAACCTGGGTGGAAAAGTAATTGACCTACCATCTAGAAAATAAATCAAAGGTTTTCTGAAGACCATCTTCTGAAACCTCCACAGACAAGCTTTGCAACTCAGCTACATTTACAGCAAAAAAAAAAAAAAAAATGCAAAATACGCTCATTTACCATCCTCTTGTCCTCCCATTCCATTCCCCAGTTTCTTCTGTTTCTTCACCTGATGGGTCCAATCATAAACCTAGACTCCAAGCTCTCTGGGGCAGGAGCTATTTTTGTTTGTACAGCATCTAGCACAACACAGATGCTACTCTGAATAACATTCAGTGTTTTTCTTAAAGTTCCATCTTATAGCCATTTTATATAAAAATCTCAGCTTCCATTAGAAAAAAAGTGCATCTCTAGCTCTTATGACTGAAGAGACAAAGCTTAAATTGTGAACCACACAAAGAACGAGGAGTCCAGTGGCACATATTTATTTTGGCATAAGCTTTCGGGGGTAAAAACCCCACTTCTTCAGATACATGAACCACAGGCTCAAAAACCAAAAGGCAAATTAAAAAAAGAACAAATTTGTTTTTAAAATCTTATGATTTTGAGATCCAGTTCATGATTTTTAAACACTTAAGGTTGGCAATACTGGCGTCTGCATACAGGCAGCTCCTGTATCTCTGCTGCTGCTCATAATTTTCCCAAGCAGCAAAAGAGTGACCTTAAAAGGCCTCAAGGTCAGTTTGAGAGCCCCTGTTCTGTGAGCAGCTTTGAAACTAACAAAGAACATGTAAATTTCACATGTGACAGTTCACATCTTAGGCAGGCTATAAATACACACACTAGCTATTCACCAGAAACAAGGACTCCCAAAAAATACGGGATGAGGGAAGAATACAGAAAAACCTCAACCCATAGGAGCCTGGGAGACAAACACACTGTCAGAAGTCTTAGAATGGGAAGGAAAAAAATGGGCTCCTCCTTCCCTTCCAGAAACCAGAAGATCTGAGGGCTTCAAATTCATCAGGACACCTATTAGGAAGGGGCTGATCTAAAAGATGGAGCCAAGTGTAGGCTCCAAGGACCCCACTACAAGAGGACATCAGGATACTACTGATGAAGGCCAATGGGGAGAGGGGAGCATTACAAGCACAACCACGTGTTAACGAAATATTAACGATGAAATGCTAAAACCCCCAAAGCCAACAAAACTCAGAAGTGACCTGAAGATCAACAGAGGCTCGAGAAAAAAGAAAAGGAGTATTTGTGGCACCCTAGACTAACAAATGTAGGCTTTAGAGAAAGCGCAGGCCTACACCAGGAGTAGAGAAGGCTTCTGCCAGCAGCTCTATCAGTCAAGGACAGCGGCCCTGGCCTCACCGGCGACCTCTGCCTAGAGGCGAATGCCCCAAGACCTGGAACAGCCATCTTAAAAGTTTCCCCGCCGGCCTGGGGCTTTTCGTGGCGAGGGGCTGCCCCAAGGCCCCGGAGACTGTTTCCCCAACCCCTGCCCTGCAGGCGAGCACAACAGCAGCTTGCCAGCCACCTGGGGCGGGAATGACTTTACCCCGCACGGACGGGCAGCCACCTCTGCCCGGGGGCCAGCAGCTGGGGCGCAGCAAAGCAACCCGCGGCGGGGAGAAGGCTTCAACAACAAGGGCAAACAAACGCAGGCTCCTGCAAGGCGAGGCCCGGCCCCAGCAGCACACGCAGCGCTGCCGCGCCAGGGCTCCCCTGCCAGAGGCAGCTCCCCCTCAGGAGCCCGAGCAACACCGGCCGCGGCCGCGCCCCTCACCCGAGTCCAGCCCCAGCTGGTAGCAGGCCAGCGGCTCCAGGGAGAGCTTGTAGCCCTCGAACTTGGGGTCCAAGAGCAGCCGCTTCACCCGCAGGGAGCAGTTGGCCACCGCCTCCATCCCCGGCCAGGCCCGTAGCTACCGCCTGCGACGAGGGGGAAAGTTTGGAAGGAGACTTTGTGTGAGAAGCGCGGGGGCCTTTACTGGCTCAGGTAAGGCGCATGCAGAGCGTGGAGCACCCTGGGAATGGTAGTTTTAGGGCTCTAGCCGCAAGGGACTGCTGCTGTCAGTCGCCAGGCATGTCGGGAGTTGTATGCCGCACGGGGCGTCCGGAAAGCGGGGCATGCTGGGAGTTGTAGTTCCAGCCTCCGAGGGAACCGGCACGTCCGGCCGCCCAGACCTTAGGCCACACTGGGAGTTGTAGTTTTTAAACTGAGCGAGGGACGACATCGTCCCGCACTCCATTTCCCAGGGTCCCCCGCGCGAAGGGGCGGGCAAAAGCTTGGCCGGGCTGGATTCTCCCGGGGAGACGGCGTCGCTTTCTCCTTCCACAGAGCTGGGCGCGCCGCCGCGGGGGTGAGTCCTGGGGCCCCGAGCGGGGTTCGACGCTCCGCTGGAGGGGCCCGGGGCGCGCTCAGAGCGGGTGGGGAGCCGCGGGGCTCGGCCTGAAATCCCCACCCGCAGCCGCGCGGTTGGTTTCCCGGCTCTGGGGCCGGGCCCGAGCTTCCCCACGCCGCGGGCCGCAAAGGGCTGCGAGCCTTGGCTTGGCCCCATGCTTTGGGGGGAGGGATCGCTCAGTGGTTTGAGCATTGGCCTGCTAAACGCAGGGTTGTGAGTTCAGTCCTTGAGGGGGCCATTTAGGGATCTCGGGGGTGGGGGATTGGCCCTGCTTTGAGCAGGGGGCTGGACTAGATGTCTTGCTGAGGTCCCTTCCAACCCTGATACTCTATGACTCCCTGGCGGGGCCCGGCGGCTGCGCTGTGGCGACCCCTCCCCCGCAGTGGGTGTACTTCAGCCCCGACTTACAGGGCCTGGGGTTGGTCACTGGCTGGAGGGAGGGGCGGGGGTCTGGTCATTGCCCCGAGATGTGGTCACTCAGTGGGGGGTGGGGAGAAGGTGGGTCACTGGGCGGGGAAGTGTGGGAGAATGGGGTCCGGTCACTGGCTGATGATGGGAGTTGGGAGGGAGGGGGGTCTGGTCACTGGCTGGGGGTGGAGAGACGGCAGGTTATTGGGGAGTGGTGATGGTTGTCCCTCTCTATCAGATGTGCTATGGAGTCTCTATCTTGCTCCTGTAGAGGCTCGGCAGCAGAGTACAAAGGACCTCTGGTTGAATGTTATCTGAGCTCAACTCTTCTAACTTTATAGTATCTCACCCCCACTTTGCTAAATCTGTGCTGCAGCCTTCTGTGCTGGCTGTTGCATCATTACACAGGGAGGAGAGAGCGATCAGTTCAGTAAGACTGACACATGCACAGCTGAATTTGATCGTCTCCAGTTTCTTATTTGACCATGTCAGAGAATCACTCCATAGTTCAGGGCAGATAGCAGCCTTTCCTCAAATCAGGGCTGAAATACCAGAGCTCGAAGTAAGGTGATAGAGCTGTGGGTCTGAAGTGGCTCAGGTGAGTTAGTTCTGTTAGTCCTTTTATGAACATTAAACTATAATTCTTTATCTGTCCTCCCTTTCCTTTAGTGGTGGAGAAATTATCATGTGAACAGATTATCACAGGCAGATCTGGTATTTAGGAGCAAAAGTTTTCTACATACCTTCATCAAAATTTCTGGCGATCTCTAATTAGAGCCATGGATTTAATAACTGTAGAGAGACAAGGTGGATAAGGTAATATCTTTTACAGTAAAACCTCAGAGTTATGAACTGACTGGTCAACCACATTCCTCATTTGGAACTGCAAGTATGCAATCAGGCAGCAGCAGAGACCAAAAAAAAAAAAAAAAAAAGCAAATACAGTATAGTACTGTGTTAAAGGTAAACTACTAAAAAAGAAAAAGGGAAAGTTTAAAAAAAAAAAAGATTTGAGCAGGTAAAGAAACTGTTTCTGTGCTTGTCTTGTTTAAATTAAGACGGTTAAAAGCATCATTTTTCTTCCGAATAGTAAAGTTTCAAAGCTGTATTAAGTTAATGTTTGTTTGAAAGAACAACCATAACGTTTTGTTCAGAGTTACGAACAACCTCCATTCCTGAAGTGTTCATAACTCTCAGATTCTGTTGTATTGGACCCATTTCTGTTGGTGATGGAGACAAGCTTTTGAGCTTACGTGGAGCTCTTCTGGACTGAAGAAGAGTTCTGTGTAAGTTCCGTAACTTTTCTCACCAACAGAAGTTGATCCAACAAAAGAGATTACCTCACCCACCTTGCGACTTAAATATCCTGGGAACAATATGGTTATCGCACCACTACTTTAAGAACTGTGACAGTTTTTTCTCTTTTTACCAGCATTCTAAAGTGGGGTGAATGTGCAGAAAACACTAGTTTATCAGGAAGCAAAGATTATCATATACAATTTGGCTGGGTCATCAGCAGTGAACAGTAGTTTCTGAATTTATGTGAGGACAGTAAGGTTCAATCATGTGATCACTTTGCTGAGTTCTGTTAATCAGTATTTCTGATATAAACAATGTGTGATTGATGACTTATTGTGACTGTCTTCAGTAAGTTGAGTTAACATCTTTCTCTTGTCTAATTGTGTAAATTAAACAAATGCCAAAAACTGAGGGGTCTATACTCAAAATGCTGCAGCTGCGCCGCTGTAGCACTTCAGTGCAGGTGCTACCTATGCTGACAGGAGGGGTTCTCCTACTGGTAATCCACCTCCCTGATGTGATTGCCAGGTTGCCGGAAGAATTCTTCTGTCAGTCTAGCACTGGCCACCTGGGGACCTAGGTCGGTTTAACAATGCTACTCCGGGAGTGGATTTTCCACACCTTTGACTGACATGGTTAAGCCGACCTAATTTTCTACTCTAGACCAGGCCTAACAAACTGTAGAGAGCGTAAGGGAAATTTAATTGTTTAATTACATACATGTTTTCTTACGTTGCAAATGATTAGTAAACAATGCTATTAAAATCTTTTTTTTATAATTTTATAGATTTGCTGTGGAAATCTAGGTTTTCAAAATGAATAAAGATGCACAGATGAGAGCAACTATTAACCAAAAACTAATAGAAACAGGAGAGCGAGAACGGTAAGTAGATTTTTTTTTTCTTATATGGTTTTTATGCTCATTAAATGTCATAAAATGATGTAGCATGAAGGATGTCCTAAAAAGTAAAAAAAGCTAAATCCCTCCTATAATTCTAAATGCTGCAAAACAGTTGAGAAAATCTTGTGTGTTATACCAGTAAAGACTTAATTAAAATATTCAAAAGTAAGGAAAAATAAACCCTCTCGGCCAGTTTTTAACTAAAACAAAAAAGCTGGTAAAATAATAAGAGTTGGGAAAGTTGGCTTATAAATCCCAAGTGAACACTGATGATGTTGTTAATGGAGAAAACATCTTTGTACAGATCTAAAATTACACTGTTAAACAACGAGGTTCCAATTTATTCTCTTTTCAGGCCAAGAGGGAGAGGTGCAGTCTCCTTATTGCACAAATAAAATCTAAGCATGGTATCAGGGTTGTGTTCTGTTACATACAATGGTGGAGCAGTAGAATTTTTTCTTGAATTCAAATTATCCAAAACAACAAAGCAACCACAATTGCTTTAATTTGGTCTTCCACAGGGGTTCTCAAACTTGGGGGTCGGGACCCCTCAGGGGGTCGCAAGGTGATTACATGAGGGGTCGCCAGCTGTCAACCTCTACCCCAAACCCCGCTTTGCCTCCAACATTTATAATGGTGTTAAATTAAAAACACTTTTTTTATATATTTATAAGAGGGGTCGCACTCAGAGGCTTGCTATGTGAAAGGAGTAACCAGTAAAAAAGTTTGAGAACCACTGGTCTTCCAGAATCCCGTACCTTGTCCTTCCTCATCCAAACATCTTACCTCTTAACAACTTACTGGTCAAAGAGGACTAGACTTCACGCTTCAGATTGTTGGTCCAACTCCTTCAGTCAAAAATGGGGGATTGCTTGAGCAAAGCAGGATAGTCGAAGGTTAAATGCGCCCCCAGCCCATGGAGTAAAGGACTGAAATTTATGCTACTAAGCCACTATGCTAGTTTACGACATCTTATTCTAATTTGTTTCTCCTTCACCTCTTTAAGTATTATCCCACTGCTTTCCCATATCCAGTGTACCCCCGGCAGTAAAGGAGGGTTGCTCCCGTGCTCCTTCACAAATAGCTGAAGGAATAGAATAGAGTGAACCTGTCTTGAATCCTTTTCAGTTTTGTTCAGCACTTGTTGATTGTGCTGAGAGGAGGTAATATACCAGGCAAGGTCCCCCTTTCCTAGACTTCTCTGATGATAAAAATATCACAGGATATTCAATGCCCAGTTTAAATCTCCAATGAAAACATAGTTTGGATACCTCAAATTTAGAGTTGCAAGCGTTTCTTTGAAATCAAGTCACTTACACTGAAAGTCACTTACTCTTACTCCTGGCCATCTTGGATCCCTTTGAATACAGTAGCTTATTTTATTTCGCAGCATGAATTAGTGTGCAGCTGTGCATACAAAGGCTTACAGTGATGTATTTTTTATAACCTGCTTTGAAGTGAAATATTCTTTCTTTGCTGTTAAAACCACTTTTTCTTCTAGTAAGTTTAATTTTGTCATCTTTACAGCCTTAAAGAGCTGCTAAGAGCCAAATTAATTGAATGTGGCTGGAAGGATCAGTTGAAGGCACACTGTAAAGGTAATTAAGGTTAACTACATTCAATACCCTTAGTTATTGCCTAAGGTAAGAGAATAGGTGCATCACTGCTAGCCAAATAAAAGTTCCAGATGAAAGCTTGACTACCTGAAAGTCAGTTTGAATAAGACGGAGATGATGCTATTGGGCAAGAGAGCATCTTGGAGAAATGTGGGAGGCAGGGTATGAATGCTTTCTTATGGGATACTTTCTCACAACACCTGTACTCACATTGGTGATTTGTAGTTTTGGAATCATCTTGGATGTATCTCTGTTCACGAATTCTCAGGCAACCTGGGTAGCCCAAAATGCATTTTCACATCTTTGGCTGATGTTGAGTTTTTGATATTTCCTCTGATTTGGACCTCATTGTAGTTGCCAAGGTCTGCTGTATTTAAGGTTCTAAAATGTGTGACTGCTTGATTGCTAACATCTAAATAACTGATTCCGATACAGTTTTTCATTTTGACAAGAGATTTTCATTTCACAAGAGGATAAAAGCAAAAGCAGCAAGCAGAGAGAGGTATGCCATAAATAATAGGAGGAGTGCTTGTGCTTTCTTTTTTTGTGAAAATTTTTCATGAAAATCACCGATTTTAGATGAAGGAAAACATCATCAGATTAACTGCTAAGTACCAAACTTTTGTTTTCAAGTGTCTATAGTAAAGGTAAATAGTGAATGTATTAAATTTAGATAAAATTCTTATTACCATAATGTTCAGCTTCCATGGAGGGCTGATAGCTTTCTAAACCAGCACATGATTGTTTTCCTGTTAAGAGCAAAAAAACAAAACAAAAAACTTTGAATATTGACTTTTAACCTTTCTTCTGATCAGATTTACTCTGCCCAAATGGCATTTTTGATGGCAGTCACAGTACATTTTTCAATAGTTTATAGTGCTAGGATTATTCAGTTCTGTTGTCAACTGAAACATTTTACAGTATTGGTTACAGCAGTCATTATTTACAAATACAGAGCACATTCCAGCAGTGCAGGACTGTGCTGATCAAAGTTGAAATTCCTTTCCCCAAAAATATTTACTATATTTAAGGAAAGTGATTCTCTGAAAAATAATCCTAATATGCATACTGAAAACACTAAAACATGGAAAGCAGGAAAAATACTGGGTATATGTTTGCTGTAGATCTGATCTTTCTAAAGGAGTACTTTCAAAATTGCTGTTATATTCTTGAGCAATTGACAGTGTAGTATTAGTGTGTTTATCTCTCCAATTGTGCCCACATATCTATTCAGGGGACACCATCACAGGGCCTAATAACATCAGCCACACTATCAGAGGCTCGTTCACCTGCACATCCACCAATGTGATATATGCCATCATGTGCCAGCAATGCCCCTCTGCCATGTACATTGGTCAAACTGGACAGTCTCTACGTAAAAGAATAAATGGACACAAATCAGATGTCAAGAATTATAACATTCATAAACCAGTCGGAGAACACTTCAATCTCTCTGGTCACGCAATCACAGACATGAAGGTCGCTATCTTAAAACAAAAAAACTTCAAATCCAGACTCCAGCGAGAAACTGCTGAATTGGAATTCATTTGCAAATTGGATACTATTAATTTAGGCTTAAATAGAGACTGGGAGTGGCTAAGTCATTATGCAAGGTAGCCTGTTTCCTCTTGTTTTTTCCTCCCCCCCCCCCCCCCGATGTTCTGGTTTAACTTGGATTTAAACTTGGAGAGTGGTCAGTTTAGATGAGCTATTACCAGCAGGAGAGTGAGTTTGTGTGTGTATGGGGGTGGGGGGGATGTGAGAAAACCTGGATTTATGCAGGAAATAGCCCGACTTGATTATGTAAAGAGTTGTCACTTTGGATGGGCTTGCACCAGCAGGAGAGTGAATTTGTGTGGGGGGGTGGAGGGTGAGAACCTGGATTTGTGCTGGAAATGGCCCACCTGTTGATCACTTTAGATAAGCTATTACCAGCAGGACAGTGGGGTGGGAGGAGGTATTGTTCCATATTCTCTGTGTATATATAAAGTCTGCTGCAGTTTCCACGGTATGCATCTGATGAAGTGAGCTGTAGCTCACGAAAGCTCATGCTCAAATAAATTGGTTAGTCTCTAAGGTGCCACAAGTACTCCTTTTCTTTTTATCTCTTTAATTGTCTTCAAATCTTTACAGTTGTGCTTCTGGTTAATGTTACATATAATATTTAACTGGAATTACAGCCTTGTTCTGGCTGCAGTTCAAAGACTTGTAAATAATTGCTGCATTGCTACATGCCCAGACAGTGCCTGTCATTGGTATATACAGGATAGATTTGCTAAATGGTGGTCAAGTGCCTTTACGGATCTGTGCACTTGCCTTTTCAGGTTCTTATACCACGCCCACTGATACAGTAATAGACTAAATCCACAGTAGGATAAAATACATATGATTAATTATAGGATTACATATATATGATTAATCTACATATGCAGGTTTTGTATTATAATCTTTGAATAGGTCTGTTTTTCTAATGAATGGATTTAAACTATTCAACTATTCAAGTGGTTTTCTTGGTCTTCCCTAGATGTAATCAAAGAAAAAGGGTTAGAGCATGTTACTGTTGATGACTTGGTGGCAGAAATCACTCCCAAAGGTAGAGGTAAGAAAAGTAATGTCACTTAATGCAAAAAAAACACCTATTAATTCCACACTAAGCTTACACATTTAAATACTCTAGAAACTTTGTCTAAGCACCAATAACTTGCCCACATTGCATGTAGAGGAAACTATATAATAGCCTAACTAGTAATCACAAATGGGCTACATGTGTAAATTCCTGTTGCCATGAAAGCCTTACTGTTTCTGCGCTGACTCATGTATTTTAAAAAAATATTTTTATATATAACTTTCTTTGAAAAAGACAGAAAAATCTGCTTAACAATTAAATGCCCCCAGTGGTCTCACTGACACTAGTAGAATTAAGTGCATGTGGTGTATGGGAGAGATGTTTTCATATCTCTGTTGTTTTGGCTGGAGACCTCTGTGAGGCTGGGTTAACAGGGCAGTAAGAATATCAGGGGGAGGGGGCAATAACAGGAGCAGCAGCAAGAGAGACAATTTGCATCTCATGAAGAAAAGTGCTTTGTGTTAGTCTCCTTTTTGCAGTCCACTCAGTTGCCCCACAGCCAGTCAGGCCATCTAGGAAACCTCTAGTGTTAAAGAAGGTAAAGCTGTTTTTAAAAAAAAAAAAAAAAAAAAAAAAAAGGCCCACCCACCCAGGGCTGAAGCCCTTGAGCTTCAGCTTTAGCCAGCTCACCCACCTGGGGCAGTGGGGCTTGTCTCCTGCTCCCCTGGGCAGGCTCCTGAGGTCATGTAGTAATTTTTGTTGTCAGAAGAGAGTCACGGTGCAATGAAATTTGAGAATCGCTGCCCTAGCTCTTCTCTTCAGAGAACAGAGTTTATGGGGGAGAACAGAGCTTATGGGGCAGAAAGTGAGTCAGATCCTTTGCTGCTGATTGCATCCCACCTACTGCCGAATATAAATCCTTCCTTTCTTCTTTGGATTGCTCTCCAACCCCAACAGGAGATTGCTGAATTGGCTGGTGGAGTTCTAAGAAAGTCTATCATGCATCAGAATTGCAGGGTCAACTTATGATATACTGCGCTACATATATCTTTTTCTTTTTCCCCTATTTCTTACCTGCTTTTTTTTATTTGTATTTCAGCTTTGGTACCAGACAGTGTAAAGAAAGAACTCCTACAAAGAATAAGAACCTTCCTTGCCCAGCATGCCAGTCTTTAAGATTGACATTAATTCTGAGTACAGTATTTTTGTGTGTCTGTATTATGTAAGTCATGCCAGAAATTGGAATACATTTTTCATGTTTTAGAATTTAAGTTCATTTTTGTATGATTAGTTACAGGTGTATCATTATACTGCATTAATTTCTTAAACTTGCTGTTTTAATAAAAAAAAAAAAAAACTTTTGTGGTTATGTATGTTTTGAAGGTTCTTATCTTCTGTTATATTGAGTGGTTTTTAAGCTGGTGATATGTTAATTTCCAGGCATCTTTTGCTACTTTGCACTAAGTCATTACATTAAATCAATACATTTTTTATGATTTTTGAATACATCAACCTAGTAAGTACAAACACATTTGTTATGCTTATAAGAAGCACACATGATCTTTTTCAGGGAAAAAGGCAACATGCCGCCTTTTTTGAAAATACAACAGTTAGCATATGCATTCAATCTCTCACACACGTCCTGCAGATGGTCTTATAGTTAACAATGTGTCATAGCTCGAGTCAATCTAATGGCCAGTTAGATTGAGCACGAGTGAGGAACTGAGCTCTGTCACTCGCGATTCAATGCTCCGAGATTTTGCAGGTCTGAACCCAGACTTCTATGGCAAAACACCCCAGCTTTATACTTGTAAATTCCCACTTTAGTCTATGGATTTTGAGTCTGTAAGTGGTGTTAATCTTGGGGTTTTCCACTGTTATCTCTTATTTGTTGTCTCGCCTTCGGGGGTGTTTGCCTCACCTTTGAGGTCGTCAATGCTGCTAACTCGTTTAGCATCAGATGCAATGGATTTTTTCTGATTGTTTCCTACTGTCTCTCCAAGTCTCTCACTTCTTCTTGACCATCTGGACATTGTGGTGGCTTTCACACTCACCCTTAACCATGCACACATCCTTTACTCACACCAAACAATTTTACAGAAAATTTCAGACAAGTTTACATTTTAGAAAGGGTTATATGCAATGTTCCCTCTAATTTTTGACAGGCCGTGTGCACAAAAAATTTCTTCTGTGCAAATTGTTGTGCTTCTGTGCAAATTTTTGTGTGCACAGTGTTTTGCTGTGTGCGCAGGGTTTCGGAGCTGTGTGTGCGCACACACGCACAGCTTAGAGGGAACAGTGGTTATATAGTTATTAAAGGGATTACAAAAGAACCTTACACAACTTCGTTTGCAATGCAGATAAGAAACAAGACCTTATAGCAAATACTGTGATGTAAACTTATCCTAAAACAAAAGGTGACCATAATCAGCCATAAGGACTGTTCTGGTCTGTTCCTGCCTTAACATCAGTTCAGACACAGGCAGCCTGTCTGATGCATTTCTACCAATGGCCCCTTAGGCCATTCCTTTCTGCTATTCAAAAAGGGTGGCTGGCAGGATATGGTCAAATCATACATTAATACATTTATTACATGCTACATTAATATATCCTTCATTCTAAATTATACAAAATACGAACATAAAATCCTACTACTACATATTCACTCTTTCAAAAATGTGTGTAAATATAATAGAAATGCAGATCTGAAAAAAGTAATTATCTGGACATTAGAACAGTATTCTGTTTGTTTAGTATGGTCAATAGTTGGATTGCACCAAGCAAAATAAGGACTCTGTACAAAATTCTGTTGATGACATTCTTCCCACCAAGTACTTAACCAATATCCCATATGGTGACAGAAATTTACAAAAGGGGCTTTCTTTGAAGTTTTTTTTAGGTATATAATTTATAGGACTTGTGGATAATTGTTGAACCTGGATCCACATTCCAGCTTCACCAAAAGCTGCTTTAACTTCTTTCTTTAGTTAAAAAGAAATGCTGCTACTGCTGCTTAACAACTGCAGTGTTCCACCCTTACAGCATTCCACTGGTGTATGAGATCCAGTTATGTTTCAGTACACTTCATATAGAGAGGCCGTTCTGGATAAAGGTACTACATACTGGCAATTTTTTTCTTTTTCATCAAGCTGGTGAATCTAAAATTCTGACTAGAACAGACACAAATTGAAACAATAAATAATTTTACTGAAATAACTTACAATCATCATCATCACTCCCATAGCGGTATTGGTCATTGGGGCACCATCATTGATGAGGAATCAACCAATTTTCTCCATCCCTGACAATTGTATCTCAGTACTTGAGTCTCCGCGAAGTCCATTCCTGTCAACTCTTTTATGTTATCAGTCAAGGTGGATTTGATTTAAATCACTAGTCAGGAAGACTCGATTTAATCATGGATTTCTAAATAAAAGTGCATTCTTGTTGGTTGTTACAACCTTGATACATATTCTTCATAACTCAGAGATAGATATAGGTTTCATTTTTAGAAGGTACACACTATATATTTTTAAAGTGATTTATTTTGAAAACTTCTCAGATTAGTTTTACAGCTATATCAGAAAATGAATGATTGTTTGGTTATTTCATAAAGGTAATTGAAGCAGATATTTAGGAAGTCATGGAGAGGGGAACCATCTCCAATTCAATAGATTAATCATTAATATTTGGAGGATTTTTTTGCCATGCTGTATTAGGAGGAGAACATCACCAGACAGACTTTTAAATTGTTTTATTTAATCAAAACAACGACATTATGTATTCTGGATTTTTTCTTCAACAGCAAACATACAATATTTTAACAAAACAAGCATATGAATTTTTGAATTTAGTTAAACATTAAATTTTTTTAAAATCAGGTTGTTTTTGTTAAAGTTGTTTTTAACTAAAATAGTTAAGTCAATTTTTTTAAAAAAATATTTCAATGTCAACCAGGTCAACATGAGAAACTTAAAATATTGGTTTCTGCAGCTAACTCAGTTGTCTTCACCTTCATTTTCCTATTTGTTCATAATAGGGAAAAGGAAAAAAAAGCTTTCCTGCTTTTTCAGGCAGGTCCCAAACAATTTCTCAATTTGGAATGAATTAGTCCAAAGGAAGAAAATATTCCTTCTACACAGACAGAAGAAGCTACTGCTGTTAAAAGTGAGATTATCATTTCAACAGTCACTGAATCCAAGTGCTTAAGTGACTTCCACCAGTTCACAGGTGTGACTTTTTTAAAACATCAGGAGCAAGCATATATTTCTTGAATGGTTCTTATTCCTAAACTGGGTCTCTTTTACGGCCTGCTGCCATTATAGGTTTGCCCTTCTAGTGAGACAATGGTATGGTAGATCTCAAATCAATGAAGGCTACACTCAAGACTTCTGGAATATGCTGCTCAAACAGTTTCACTTTTGTTTCTACTGCCTGTCCCTCCCTTCTCACATTTATCTCCAGACTACTTCTCCTTAGCCAGATCTATTCCACGCCCAACAATCTTCTCTATTCATTGAACTTTTTGAAACTTTTTACTTTTAGAGCAAGGTAAGGGATTACTCTGTGTACACAAATTTGCAGAGGGACAATAGGGTTGAGGTCTGTTATTTCTCACCTCTATATATTTATTTACAAACATTTTTGCTGTTAACAAGTATGTTATCTCTGGAGAGACATATCCATAGTTTAAGAACTGAAAAACTAAGCATCTCTGATGGTATCTTCTAGACTGAGCACTGAGTCCCATTGGGTAGATAAAAAGATTAACCTAAATAATCCATACAGAAGCCTCTGGAATCCCATAAAATTGGGTCCCTAATCCATGAACTATTGGAACTCCTTTACAAAACTTTTCTTAAACATTACATGAATATATTGTCTCATACTATAGAATTAGAATGTATAATCCCTATTCCGTGATGAGATATCTTTGAGCTATAATATATCTTTCTTTAGATAGGTTTTTTCCTCAAAAAGCATTTTATCAAAAAAATTTGATTTAAATAAAAAAATCCGTTTTTTAAATTTTTTTCTTTTAAATCATTGATTTTTATCCAACCTGCTGTCAATCCATCTCTATTCTGTCTATCTCTTCTTCTCTTCCCCTGTACTGTCCCTTGGAGGATCAGCTTGGATAGGCCAGAGGATCTTGCTACATGGCCATACCACTTCAGCTTGCGCTTCTTCACCGTCGTCAGGAGGTCTTCATATGACCCAGAGCAGTGGGTGATGATGTGACGGACCTCTTCATTAGTGACGTGGTCGAAGTAGGAGATGCCTAGGATTTTACGGAAGCATCTGATCTCTACTACCTGTATTTTCCGTTCAAATTCTGCCATAAGGATCCATGTCTCAGACACATACAGAAAAATGGAGATGACCAATGCATGTAGCAGTTTCAGTTTGGATTACAGGGAGATGTTCTTATTCCTCCAAATTGGCTTTAGCTTTGCCACTGCTGCTGCTGTTTGCGCAGTTCCTGCCCGAATTTCTGCCTTGGATCCTTCATCAGTGATGACTGCCCCCAAATACTTGAACTGTTTCACTGTTTCCAGCTGTTGTCCACTGACAGTGATATGTCAGCTGATCCCATCACGTCAGCTCGCCAATCTTGTGAAAAGACTGGATAAAACCTCTGCAAAATATGGCATGGAAATCAGTGCAGAGAAATCTTACAGTAATAAAACCCTAAAATGACCAGGAGCAAGGATGATGGGTGAAGGGCTTGCAGGAGGGAAGACGTGTTTGGCTTTCGCCATGTTCAGTTTGAGTTAGCAGTACACTCAGGAGATAATCAGCTAGGCAAGAATGAATGGAGGAGGAGCAATCAGGAGATGAATGAGGCAGGAGATGAATGAGGCAAATTTTTTTTATAAAGAGAAGCCACATGAATCTGAGAACTGGAAAAAGGAATTCTTGTCATTCAAGTCACTGCTAAATGTGTGTTGGATTATATCAGAAAGACTCTTAACACACTACACTGGAAATCAAATGATAAAGCAACCAGCAAGAATGGTGTCCTAGTAGGATTAGCTTTTAAATATGAAATACCAATAAGGTTTTGTTTTAAAAGAAATGTGTGTCAAACTAAACTTTGTGGTGATGGGCACATTTCAAATGTGTAATGAGGGAATGTAAACAAATGGTAGCTATTTTCTACAATTGTATAAATTGTAGATATATAATAGAATGCTAAAGGTCATTTTTTGTCCATAGAAATTGTTTTGCCATCTCGAAGTTTCTTCATCTTTGCTCCAGCCAGCCAATATCTGACAGTGTACTACAGGATACATTATAATTTGCTCCTTGTCATGCAACTTGATAGTACTGGGTTCAGTTACTCACAAAATAACTTTGCTATGCTTG